GGGCGGTGGGGTCAGCGGTGCTGGACGGAGGCAGCAGCAGCAGCTCCCGGGGTTCCTCCAGAGGCGGCGGTGGGCCTGGGATGCCCGGTGGTGGGAGCAGGCAGAGGAGGAGGAGGAGGCAGCTGCGGTGCGGTCCCTCCATGGCGAGCAGCACTGTGGCAGCACGGCTGCTGGCTTGCACTCTGCCGCATCCCCTGGGTTATCACCGCGTCCCGAGGCATGGCCTTCCCCTTTTCCCTGGTTACAGCGACTGATAGGGAGCTGGCGGGGACAGCTCGCTCCTTCCCACCAGAGGGGCAGGTGGGGGGAAAAAGCTGCATGGTCCCTCCTGCCTCTGAGTCAATGGGGATAATTTGGGCTGCTGTGGAGGGGAGCAGGCCAGCCACCTCCTTTTCCACTTCCTGCTCCATCATTACAAGAGGTACCCACAACCTTCTCAGTGAAGGGAAGCTGGTGGCCTTTGAGTCTTGCTGAGAAAGGATCACTGAGCTGCACCTGCAAGTCCTCAGGGCGCAGGTCCTGTCACCAGGATGGACATGGCAGCAGAGTGGCAGGGAGGGAGGGCTGCGTGGGTCACTGTCCTCTCCTGGCACATCAGCCAGCCCCCATGTGTCCCAGGCAGCTGTGATGGAACTGGGCCCCTGGAGGTGGCCATCCTGGAGATCTTGGCCTCCCTCCCATACTGCAGTACCGGTGGAGTGGACACCTGGACTGGATGGAATCCAAAACCTGCTTTCTCCTCCTTCCCTAGGTCAGACATTGTGGGAGAGGCTCAATCTGCTCCGTGCTGCTAACAATTAATTAATGACAGCTAGTAACAGCAATTAATTGCTCATCTCCCAGAGGGTTTAGGATCCTATATTTTGGGGATAGGGCAGGGATGAGGCTCAAAGTGGTGGGATATTTACATTCCCCCGAGGTGTTGGACAACATATCCTGAACACCCAGTATCCAGAGATGGCTGCTGAGGTCCAAGGGGCCCTTTCCCTCTCCATACTCCCTTTTCCACCAGAGAGTAGTGAGCTTTCTCTCTGCCACCCCCTTCTCTGCAGGAGGAGCAGGGAGCAGCTGAGCCTGCAGGAAAGCTGGGCAGAGAGGAGTTAACTCCAAACCCAACCTCAGGGAGAGGGAAAAAAAACCAACAGAACTATGGATCAGCAGCAAGAGCAGAGGGAGGGAAAAGGGGGAGTCAGAGAGAGAGGAGAGGAGCTCCAGAAGGAGAGACAGCAGTGCTGGTGGCGAGCAGGGGGAGACAGCAGAGCACCAGGCAGGAGTGACTGGGATGATCGAGCTGCCCAGATAAACTCTTCTATGCTATGCATCCTCCTGCTACCCCTGCGTGGGCTGGACTGGAGGTCTCCCCCTGAGCAAGTGGCAAAGCTGCAGGCTCTTCCTCAAAAAGGTGAGTGCCAGCTTCCAAAGCTGAAAGGCAGTCTCAGGCTCCCTGAGCAGAGACACCCTGGTGCATTATGCATGCCCAGAAGGAGACAGGGCTCCTCTGCTTTAGTGAGGAGATCCCATGGGGCCAGATGGATAAGCTGGAGGGTAGCTATCAGTAGGGCAGAGTGGACCAAAGACAGAGGCAGGGACAGTCTCTTGGTGTGGTACACAGAGCAGCTGGGAAGCAGAAGTGGCGTGAGCTGAGGGATGCGGGAGCATGGAGCGGAGGAGGTTGCATGACCCAAAAACAAGTTAATTGCTTGTCAACAGTAGCTAGATAACAGTGTCTTTCCTTCCTTGTTTTTGCTCAGAGAAGGACAATTTGTTCTAATGATAGCACAACAAGGGGAAGGTTTATTTGGAGATAGGCTGCTATCTGGTGTTCTGTGCCTGAGCAGTGTTACTAAGGGCTGGAGTAAGTTTTGCAGCAAATCACAATACCTTGAACTGTGATAACAACAGGCTCCTTCACAATGATCACGTTGTTGTATTTCAGGTGGCTCCAGGGTCTCCTCCACATCCTCACCTTCCTGCTACCATCCAGCCCTTGACCACTTCTCAGCATCAAGAAAAGGTGCGTTTAGTTGCCTCTGCTCTGTGGAGCGTAACTACTGCACAGGGAGCAAGGAGCAGCCAGCTCCACGGTGGAGGTGGTCTCAGCTTAAGGAGTTCCCTTGGGGTGGGAATATGTGGCTGCTGTGGGGTGTGATCCAGGTGCTAGGTCCCTGCTGCTGGAGGTGACACAGCCCTGGGCTGAGTGTGCTGGGACCATTTGCAGCCCATGGGAACCTCCTACCCCATGGCCCTGGGGCCAAACCCTGTTGAACACCAGCCAGGGTTTAGACTCCCCAAGGCAAGCAATCCCAAGGGGTTTGGCAGCTTTGGGAATGTAGGAGGAACATGTGTGAGGCCAGGGGGCAGGGCAGGAGGGATCCTTTGGGGCGCTGGGAGCACAGGAGATGTTCTGATGACAATGTGAATCCAGGCAGGAGAAAGAGGCTTCAGCTCTGCTCAAGCCAGGCAGGTGTATGCTGACTGACCACAGCAGCATTCTTTCCAGTGATGCCATGAGGATCTTGGTTGGTTGGGATCAGCTGGTTGGGATTGGCATCTCTGGGAGCAATGTGAGAGTCAAAGGCTGAAGTCAGGCACCTCGGGGCCTTTCTCCCAATGCAGGTCCCTGAAGTCTGACAGGAAGATGCCAGGGGCATTGAACATCTCTTCTGACAGCCCAGAGCTACGAGCAGCAGGGATTATTGTGCCCATCATCTTCTCCCTCATCTTCCTTGTGGGTACTGTGGGAAATGGGCTGGTGCTGGCTGTGCTGCTGTGGAATGGCCAAGTCAAGTACTCCACCACCAACCTCTTCATCCTCAACCTGGCTGTGGCTGACCTGTTCTTCATCATCTGCTGTGTCCCTTTCCAGGCCACCATTTACACCCTGGATGGGTGGCTCTTTGGGGCCTTTGCCTGCAAGGCTGTGCATTTCCTGATCTACCTCACCATGTATGCCAGCAGCTTTACCCTGGCTGCTGTCTCTGTTGACAGGTAAATGTCCCCAGCCCTTTGAGTTCTGCAGCTCAGGGACACTGTGTTTGCTGCTCTTGGGCTAACGGTGGGAGAAAGGCTGCTACTTACCCTGTTGGGTGTCCTGTAAGAAGCAGGTCAGGTCTCCCCAAAGGTCTGGCCAGCAGAGCCAGTGTCCCCAGCTCCCCATGCCATCCCCCTCTACCAAGCCAAGCTCTCAGCCTAATTAATGTACTCACTTGGGGAGGAGGGGAGTCTACTATGCATGAGCAAGAACAGCAAAACGCCCATGGGCAGCAACACAACTCAGAAGAAACAGGAGAGTCCTGCTCCTATCCTTCTCTTACCTGGTTCAAGAGATACACTACTTGCCCTTCCTGAGCTAGCGCAGCAGAGTGGATGATAGAGATCCCAGACCCAATGTTGGAATGACCCTGATATTTTTATGAATTCACTGTAACCCTCACTCACAAAAAGGTTTGGGAGGGAAGAGATGGGTGGCTGCAGGGGAAGGGGTACACAGATGGCAGCTCCACAGGGCAGGAGAAATACCTCATCCTCACCCATGTTGTGTTTTGTCTCTCCTTCTCCTCCTTGCCAGGTACTTGGCCATTCGCTATCCACTGAAGTCCCGGGATCTCCGCACGTCCCGAAATGCAGGAGTGGCCATTGTGGTAATCTGGTCACTGTCGCTGCTTTTTGCAGGGCCTTACCTCAGTTACTACCAGATAATCCATTACCACGGTGTGCCCATCTGTGTCCCCGTCTGGGAGGACCAGCGCCGAAAGGTTCTGGACATCCTGACATTTGTATTTGGATACCTGCTGCCTGTGACCGTGGTGAGCCTGGCATACACAAGGACCATCAAGTTCTTGTGGACTTCTGTAGACCCCATAGAAAGAATCTCAGAGTCTCGGAAAGCCAAGAGTAAGGTCACCAAGATGATTGTCACAGTGGCCATCCTGTTCTGCCTCTGCTGGCTGCCCCACCATCTCGTCATCCTCTGCTTCTGGTTTGGCCACTTTCCCTTCAATCGGGCCACTTACGCTTTCCGCCTGGCTTCCCACTGCCTTTCCTACACCAACTCCTGTCTCAACCCCATTGTCTATGCCCTCATCTCCAAGCATTTCCGCAAGCGTTTCAAGCAGGCCTTCACCTGCCTCTTCTTCCAGAACAAGATCAGGAAAAAGAAAAAGAGAGTTGGAAGGAAAGCTCGTATGGTCAGTGTGGGAAGAGGTTTTGCCAACAGGGCAGGAGCTTTCTATGGAGGCAACACTGAGGTGACCCAAGTCCCAGAGGAGAACACCAGGAAGAGGGACCATGAAGATGCCAGTTGTGCCAGAGCAGGGACTCGGCAGGTACAAGATGCCATAGTCTCTGTTCAGAAGGAGCTACTGGAGGATGAAATTTTGGCAACAGCTGGCCATTCCCTCAATGTGACCCCTCTAAGAGGAACTGCTGGACAAGACAAAGAAGAAGCCTTAGAAAAGGGCTAGATGGGAAAGAGAGAAGTCTCCATTTGCATCACATTTTCTGACCACATCAGAGTGGTTTTGCTTTCCTCCAGGATCATCATGCCCACGCCTTATCCCCACTGAGATGGTTTTATGTTGGCAGTGAGAGATGAGCTCATTCAGACCCATTAAACTGAGTTCAAGTCCCCCAGAACTCCTCAAACGCCTCCTCCATGATCCTGTAGCCATGTCTGAGACCTGCCATTATCCCATCTCAATATTCACAGTAAACTTTAAGTGGTTACAACAGCTCTCCTTTTCTCTGATTAAGAATGGCGTTTTATTAGTGCTGTGTGGATCCTTAAAATATAATTCTTAACATGTGGCAGATGTGCACCTATAATTCCTTAAGAGAAGGTGAAAGATGGGAAGCTCAGGAAAAAGTGTTTAGGGAAAGCTGTGACATTGTGGGACACCCAGACTTCCACACTGAAGCTGGGAAACAATTACAGGTTGTCATGGCACTTGTAGGTATCCCGAGCCCTGCATGGGCTACAAAATCCTCTGATGTCCTCACTTGTATGTATGTATGTATGGTGCTGGAAATTGTGTCAAAAATAAAGGGGTTTTGGCCCCAGCCAGTGCTGTAGGCATTGTCCTGGGTGACATCAGGCAGCTTGCAGAGCTGTGATGTGCATGAGCAGAGCCACGATCTCCCCCTTATTCATCTTCCTTTTCTGTTCCCTACTTCTGTTTGCGTAAATCTTTCCTTTTTGCTTTGTCCTGCCCACTCTCAATTCCCAGGTGACATGGTATTTCTAACGCTCACTGAAGCTGTTGCATGCCTTGCTGGAGCTCAGCTCCAAGGACATCCCTTTTTCTGTGCAGAGGCTAACTGAAGAGGGAGGCCAACAGCGCTGGGAATTAGTTTTCTTTTTTCATTCAAGTCCTTGATGTTGCTTTCTGCACTTTGAGCCTCCCTTGCCTCTATCCCTGTTTCTGATTTTTCCACCTCTCTCCTTTCCTGGCGGCTGCCACTCCTCTACGGCAGATGTCTTTCAGAAATGTGTCCAGTGTGCCTTACCCACCTTCCCGGGAACAGTGAGTTCTGCAGCCACCCTCTGCACATGATGCCATGGCTGCTGGCCAGCTCACATGGCCTCATCATTTCTTTAGGTGAAGATTCATTCCACAGCCCAAAGCATTGGAGGGAGAAGGGAACAACAGTCAGGAACAATGGCACAGCTGGATGCTGCCTGCTCTTGCCTAGAAACAGCTGGGCTGTTGCTCATCCCTGAACCTGCTCCTCCTGGTCCCAGCTTGCAAAAGGAGAAGATCAGATAAGGACTGACTGCTGCACATTGGGGTGAAGCCCAAAAGAAATAGGACAGAGAGGTCAGGGAAGTTCTTGGGGAAAAGGTGCATTTAGCATGGCAAGTGGCTGCAAACCCTGGGCCTCTTCACTAAGCTCTGCCTGGTGCTAAGCCCCAGTTTTGGGGAGCACATGAGCAGGAAGAGCAGGTGCTGAGCCTGGGATGAGAAGGCTCTGGAGCCAGAAGCGAATTCCTGTCTATCCAGTACCAGTATACATGCTTCAACTGGTTTCTCTGCTCAGAAGCAGAGGTGAAGCAAGATGTCACATCCTTGATATAAGTCAGGTTTAATTAAAACTGAAGGAGTTTGATTGCTGCTTTCCACGCAGCCTTCCCTCCAGACTGATTGGCATTCTGCAGTCTCTGCTCCCAGCTTCTTGTCTTAATTAATGACTCTTTTCTCTTATTTTCTATCCTACTTTTCATTACTCAGGCTGACAAGCTCATATTTAACTCTGCAGGGGCTGGTTTGCCCACATCAGTGCAGTGCTGCTGTTGCAAGATCTGGAACAGGATAGATGAAATGGGAGAGGTGTGAACAGGTCAGAGCTTTGCATCTAGTGGCAAGCACTAGCTCTTCTCTGTAGAGTAACTTGGTCCTGCCAACTGTGTGCTGATTCTGGTGTCTGGCATCTCCCTGGCAAGTGTGACATGAGTCTGATATCATTGGGAGGTGTCAGACCCAAGTGCCAAGAAGCTCATCCTGCTAACTCCATGTGCAAATCTGGCAGCCCTGGGAATTCTGGTTATTTGCTTTTGGGTTTAGCTGCTGGTTGCTAATCTATGACCAGCCTTAGCAGGCTGCCAGCTGATTATTTTAATTCTTCCATGTGCTCTCTTCCCCGCTCAGAGATTTCATTAAAAACCCCAGAGGAACACTGTTTGCCATACCTCCTTTATCATCTTCCTAATCAAAACTTGCTGATTCCTCCACCTAGTCACCCCATGGGCCCTGGCCTGGGGCTGCTCCCCAAGGCTGGCCAAGGTGCAATGCATGAAGAAGGCATCTTTCTGTAAGTATCTTTCAGTGATGGAAGAGATCTTTGCTCACAGAGTGAGCAAAGGAAGCAGATGAAAGGGTGAGAAGATTGCCCTAAAGACGCTTCATGGGGCTTCCTTAGCAGCACAGATAATTGCTGTGCTGGATTTGAAGTCTGCTAGAAAGGCAAAGGTGGAAGAAATAAATGAGTTTAGCTGTTGGAGATTAATTATTTCGGCTGCTGAACAGCTGAACAAATTCTTGATGTTCACACACATTGCAGTGTGTGCTTTGCATTTGATTGAGTGGGTGAAGAAGCTGCTCCAGTGAAAGGTCATTTGCTTAGTAACATCCATGCAGCTTTGCTGGGAGGCCTTGTCGGGACTGTTGCTTCTGCTATGGCTCCTCTGTGAGACACAAGCAGGCTCTCAGCTGTTCACTTGCTTGAGGCAGATCCTCAGTCTGGCTGGTTTTGGCTGCATCCTACAGTGCAGGAGCAGCCTCAGAGCCAGGGAGGTTGCTGCTGGGTTCAATGGCTGGAAATACTGCAGATCACATGCTCTGAATTAGGAGGGGAAGCAGAGTGTATTTGAAGGTCAGGTAGTGGTGAGAGGGAATCAAAGCCTAAAGTCCCAGTTGATATCCCAGTCCTGAGTACAGGGACTAATCATTGCTCATGAAAGGATCTGGGGGTGCATTTGATGGTGTAGGACAAAGAAAATGAGAAGTTTGGACTGATTTTAATGGCAAAATAAATAGCAGAGAGAAACCTCTCATTCTCCATTACTGCAGCAGACACCTTTGGGAGATGCAGAAAACTGCTGCCAACCTCATGGGTTGTGAGGGGAAATCTGGCACAGGGAGCAAGGCCAGAGAAAAGCTGCTGGGAGAAGCTGAAGCCTCTAGGCTAGAAGCACAAAGAAAACCAGGCAGTATCAGTCAGTCAACAGCTCTCAACACAGTGGAAAGCCATGTTTCTTCCTTCTCTGGAACAGTTTCTTTCCTGCCCAGCACCTAACTCTCATTCTGGGTACAGCTGCTGAGCATGACAGGGTAGTTAAAGCTCTAGGTATGACTGCCTGATGGAAAGAAATCTAAAGCTTTTCTCCATCCAGTGCCAAACACGTGATATGGCTCAGGGCAACCCACAGCTTCAAGCCCTGAGGCAGGAAAGCAGAACTGACTGTGGTTTATTCATAGAATACAATTCCTGCATGATACATTTTTTTCCCCCACTGAAAACCAGATGCGCTTTTCTCTTTCTTATCTGGTGTTACTGCTAAAGCAGTGGCAAAACTTCCTATAGCCATTTGGTTTTTTATTGCCTCTCCTAGCACTGTGGAAGCAGTGCTGCAAAAGAAGCAAGACAACTGCTCCTGGCTGGCTGCAGCACCCCCATCTTTCCCCTCTGTCAGGAGCTGTTAAGATACAACCCAGCACCAGGCAAGACAAAAGCCTGAAGAGCTGTGGACAGCATCACGTGTGCTGAGGCTAAAAGCTTCACTCTGAGTTTCAGCTAGATGTGTTCCTGGGTTTGAGGTAAGCTTCTAAGAAGTGTCTACTTAGAGACAACATCAGCAACTGAAGTAACTGCAGGGATAAAGAGCATTTTAGCCACGTGCTCTTCAGGCACCTTAATGGTCTCCTCAGCAACAAGGCTGCTGAGGGCAGAAGCACTGGCAACTGAGTGTATGTGGACATCAAGACTGGGTTGTTAAGACAGGAAGAAACAAGTTCAGTAAAGACTGGGCATGAAGGTCACCTGCTGGAAGTTCTCTGTCCTGCCCAGATGTCCCTCCCTATCCCCTCATCCTCCTGTTGTCTCTTCACAGCACAGCCATTTTTTTCGGCATGGGGCAAGGCATGATTTCTGCCACTGGGCAAGGCTGCTTTTCCTCTCTACAAAATATCTTCTGGCTTGAAGCACTCCTGCTGGGATTCTCTTTCCTCTGTTTGTACGGTTTCACAGCAACTACCTAGATTTTAAATTTGGATTTATTGGCTGTGGAAGTCAGGATCAAATAAAGGTCAGCCAGCAACCCCGTACTTCGATCTTCAAACAGAGTGGTGTTTGAACTCAAACAACTTTGTGTTGTCACTTCTGATTTGAGGACCAGGTATGAGAGTAGTGGTTAGTCCAGTGCTGTGCAGTGGGGCCTGGAACACATGTAAAGAAAGAGGAATGGGCTGCTCTGAAAAAAAGAACTTGGCTGAGGAGTTGTAAAGGGCTGACAGGATTTTATTGTAATTGAAAATACAAAAAGGTCATATTGTCTCCCACCCTCTTGGCATCCTTCCCATCTAGCACATTATAATGACGTATCAATATTCACAGTGACAGCTCCAGCCCAGCCATGAGACTGTTGCTCCCAGCTCTGTCCTCCAGCAGCCCACAGATGAACCCACCTAAAAGCCATGCCTATTTCTGGTATCTCAGCTTTGAGCAGAGATCCACTTAGCCTCTTCCTGGACAAGAGGCAGATATCACAGCACATGCTGACCTAAAGATCTCTGAAGAATGCTCTGAACTGTGGCTGCTGCATATTTAAGCTGAATCCTAATAATAAACTCTTTCAAACCAGCAACTCCCAAGCTGTGGGATAGATATGGCTACCATGATGTGGTACACAGGTGGGAACTCAGATTACTATTGACATGTTCCTGCCACCCTGTTACTGTTGGTGCCCTATCAACAAGATTGCCTAGATCCCTGCTCCACAACAAAGCAACCTAAATCTTCATTGCTAACCACAGTGGGCAGAAGCAAGAGAGCAGCAAGAGCATTTCCCTGCATCTTTCACAGCTGCATCACTTCAGGCTCCCAGCATAAGCCATAATTCATTTCTCACACTACACTTAAGGTTCTCCTGTCACAACTGGACCTCTTGCCTGAGACTGCCAGTAACAGGAAACACAAAAGTTTAGCAAACTTTTTCTAAAAAAGTTTTAAGTTTTAGCAAAAAAACCCTATGGTGTTTTTTTTTTTTTTCCAAGATGTAGATGTCTGACTAGAACTGTGTTAAGACTGCCACCCTCCAATCCTTATTCTCACATGATGGCAGCTCAGACCTGCTAGCTGTGTACCTGCTTATTTTTTGCAAGAGTTAAACAGCAAAATTAAAGCACTAAATTGCAGCAGACTTAAAAAATGTGTTCAGTGAAAGGTGTTACTCTAACCATGAAAAACTTTGTATCCCACTTGTAACCAGACATATTCTCTGCCCTCTGACAGCAGACTCTGGGGAAGGTGAGGATTTAAGCCTCAGTGCACCTTTCTTAAGGCAAAATGTTTGCTCAGCTTCTAGCGTGCAGAATTAAATGTGTGTTCTTCTCATAGCACAAAGCCTTCTGCTGTTCAAGGCATTCACTTTCTCCCTCATGAAGTTTTGCAGTATGGAGGTGGTAAAAGGTGCCTGTTCCAAGCATTTCCATGATGCTGGCCAGCTGCTGAGTGCACTAGTCAGGGCTGATGGCATGGCTGCACATGGCATTGGTCACTGCCTACATTGAACTGACACACTTGGGAGAAGGCAAAATATCTCTGGAAAGGGTACCCTATTCATTGCCAGCCCAACTGGTAAAAAGTAGAGCAGCTCTTTTATCCCAAAGTCACAGCTGCAGCATTCTTGTCTGTCGCCTTTGTTATGCAAAGCCTGCTGCCTCCCCGTGGGGCAGCTGTGGCAGCAGCAACAGGAACAGCCTGAGCACCACTGGAGAGTCAGTCTGGCAGGAATGGCTGCTGGCAGCAATGTTTAGCCAGCAATCTGGGAAGCAAACTTCAGCTTCCTTTTCTTCTCTCTAAGGCTTCTCCTGCTACTTCAGGAAGATGATTTGGCAGCCCATTACCTGTTGTCCATCTTCTGCATCTGCAGGCTGAGTGATGTGAAGCTGGCCAGGAGATCAGTAACCTCATCCACCTGACAGGAGAATACAGATGGCCATCAGGGAGGGAAATGCAGCTGTGCAGCCAGCCACCACCACAGAAGAAACCCCCATGCAGCAGGGACTACCCTTGCACTAGAATTGCCAGTAATGCCAGTGCTGAGCTTATACTAGGACAGGATCCTTTTGGTGCCAAGAACCATGCAGAAGGGCTACTATCCTCATGATCAAACAACAGGAGGTGATGCTTGACCTGCACTCTGTGTGATTTAGCCAGTCCTTAAAATACAAGCATGTTGCTACATTACCCAAAACTCTAAAAATGGTGTCAGGGCTGTTTCCTCTAAGCCTGTTTGTAGGAGCCAGTCTTTTGTAGGAAAAAAACCCAGGCCCTGCAACTCTGTGTGGCTGTGCTGATCCTGGCCTTAAACTGACTGTGCCCTCAGCCCATCTGATTGTCAGCTTCCCTGCTGCTTAGCACTGTGATGCTTTCTGCACTTTGAATTTTCACCTAAAGGAGTACCATGAGTCATCATGTAACTTGCCCACTCGACCCAATGTGAGCAATAACCGTGCCTTCAATGTCCCACTGCTCATGCAATTGCATTCTCCTAAATGCAGGAGTCCCAACGCAAGTCCCAAGCTCAACGCTGCCTACCTGCTCCTTTGTGCTAGTCATCTGTAGCCTGGAGCAGAGGTCATCCAGCTGTTCCTTTTGCTCATGCCTCCCCAGACGGTCCAGGTATTCCCGCAACATCTGGATAATCTGAAACAAACAGGCGTAAGAGGCAAACACTAGAGAGCTGCACCAGACTGGGGTGTTTTGACAGGAAAAATTAAATTGCAATTAAATTGCCAAGCACCCAGCCTTGAAGCTGCAGCACATGGTAGAGTACATGATCCTCTGCAGAGTAGAGACAAACCCAGGAGAAGCAACTACATGGCACTAATGGCAGCATCAGCATCCAGTGAGTCACCAGAGGTGTTCACCAGTCACAGATGGAGTAGCTGAGATCCTTGTGCCTGGTTAAGAACAGGGAAGAGAGACAAGCCCAGCTGAAGGTCTAGCCCTGAAAGCACACAACTTTTCTTTATGGCTAGTTAGCTTCCCTCACTGAGAGGAGCAGGGACTTCTAATTCCAGTAGGATCTGCTTATGCATAGAGGATAAAAATCCTTGTGTCTCTGTGGCTCCTGAAGTGAGGCCCATGCCCCATGCATTTGCAGGCCCAGGAGTGCTTTCCTATTCCATGCTTCCACATACCGGAGCAGGGTAGACTGTGCTAGGAATACAGAGCATGTGTACACCACAGCTACAGTCTCGTGCTGTGGTCTCTCTCCTGCCACAAGGCATCTGTCTTACATCATGGTTGAAGAGAATGCTCCATACAGCTCAAGAGTTCAGCTACTCAATGCATCCTTAGCTTACCAGAGCTCCCTTCCAAGGGAGGCCCTGGAAAAAAAAATTAGTTAGAGGCTGGGAAAAAGGAAGGTCTCCGAAAACAGAAGTCGAACTCTTCCCACAGCAGTTCAGAGGACAGACAGACATTTAAGTGCAGTTACTAAAGATAGGCATTTAAGTAAAGGGTGCAGGAGGCTGCCAGGAGCTGCACCACCTTACCAGAACATAGGACTGTTTCTTTTACCTGCTTCACTTCAAGGCGTACAGCCTCCAGGCTGTGGGAGAATCCTTCCTGCAGGATATTCAGCTTTGATTTAGCAAGGTGCAGTGGGGTTCTGCCAGCTCGATCCAAGGCATCAACTCTGGCCCCTGCAAGATGCACAAGCAGAGACAGTGGGGTCTGCCATCAGGATTTGGTGTCCTTGGGAAGTATCAACAGTGCAGGAAGGATTATAACAGGCTGTAACTGTTACAGAGGAAATGTTACCTCCGCGCAGTAGGGTGGTGATGACAGGAACGTGGTTCGTGCAGGCAGCTGGGGAGGGAAAACACAGAACACACAACTCAGAGGTACAAACAAAAATGAGTTTCTGCTCAAACACAGGACTTGCAGCTTCCCAAAGGGCTTCTTTGCCAGGGGAAAAGAGGAATGGCCCAAATGCTAAGGTAACCTCCCACTCAAGCCTGGGTACTCTAGAACAGATCTTGCACTCCTTGGGGCTGGCAGAGGGAGGGAAATCAATTTTCTCAAACCTTTTCTTTGATTCTAAATCTTTGTGAGGAGTGAATCTAATGAAACGCAAAGAGTCCCTCCTAGGTCCTTAAATTTGGGGATGCATTCTGTGAGGCACAGGCAAGAGGAAGGTGGAGAAGAAAAGGAACAGTAAGGAGGTTCGCACCTCACTTCTCTGCATGCAAAGCTCATCTGTGTGGCACTTACCCAAGTGTAAGGGAGTATTGCCCAGCCCATCTCTCTGGTTTGGGTCAGCCCCATGGTCCAGAAGCAGTTGGACTACAAACAAGGAAACAGAGCCACATCAGTCCCTTCCCTTAGCACCACAGGTCAGGCCCACATGGGTCACAGGTCTATGTGGCACCACCAGGCTGCCTCATGGGGGCTTCTGTTCAGCTCATTGGCTTCCTTACTGAGACAGGGACAGGGGTTTGCACAGCACTGCAGAAGGACCCAGCACAAAGCCATGAAGTGCCAATGCTCCTGGGCTCCCTGATGCAAAGAACTGGGAGGAAGGACACCCTCCAGAACAGCCCTAGAACTGGGAGGTCCTGCTCTCCCTCCAGCAGGCAGACATGGCAAGCCCTGGGGCCAGAACTGGCAACTTTGACACGAAAGGAACAGAAACACCTCTGAGAGGTGCTGAATCAAAATAAAGAGCACCCTTCAAAATCCCTGCCCCAGAGAGGTTGGAAGACAGAACTCCCCACCCCCCCACTCACCGATGTGATCGTTGCCATTGCAGGAGGCAAAGTGCAGGGCTGTCCGGCCTTTGTCGTCCGCAGCACAGGGGTCTGTTCCGTCCTCCAAGAGTTGCTGCACTGACAGAACCAAGGAGAAGAAAGCAGGTGAGCTGAAGGGGCGCCTGATCAGAGAGGGGGAATGCTATCTGCTCTTTTGGGGGTAGATACATGTACTATCAGCTGCTAAGCCATCTGGACTTGAACCAGTACACTAGCTCAGCAGAACCAGCCTAAGCAGCATAACCTCCACCCTCTGATTCAGCCTTCACCACCTTCCACATGTTGCCATAAAAGATAAGCCAACAGCTCTAACGGCTAAAGATCCACCTAGCCAAATTTTCAAGCTCCAAGGACAATCAGCAGCACATACCTAGAGAAGAATACTAAAGGATAGGAAGGACATGGGGCTAACTCTTGGTTTTAGTCAGCTGCATCTCCGGCACTTCCCAAGCTAGAATTAGCATGCTGTGCTTACTACCCCTCCATGGGCTTTCCCTGTGGATTTACATGGTCATTTTATGCACTTGTGTAAACTTTTGACATCAACATGGACCCCTGGTCAGACGTTTCACAGTGTAACCACAGGTAGTGAGAAAAGTCACCTCTTCACACCTGTTTTGACCATGCCCCTTCCTAACCAATGGTGACTGCAGTTTGGGAAGTGGGCAGGGGAATGCACTGACCTGCCAAGAGCCGAGCAAAGAGATCTGGAAAGGGTGGAAAGATTAGGGGAATAAAAATAGCGCCTACAGAAACATGTGTTAGGGGCAACTGTAAGGGCTGTTACTCCTGTTGTTTTGAGATCATTCTGATATATTGTCTGGTGTGTAAAACAGAGCTCATTCCATAGCTGTTAAAAATGCTGACAGGTTCACTATATTTTGAGATCTTTAAACGGCAGATTTTTAATTTTTTTTTTAAAACAGATTCTACAATAATCAAGACTGTTTCAGGCCACTGAAAGTCAGCATTTGTGTCAGCTTCCAGAAAGTGAATTATAGACACCTTTGAATTTCATCTTGTACACGTCCTACTTCAAAGTGTGGTACAGAACTGAAAGAAACACCTAAAAAGATGGAAGTGGCATTAACATGGAATGTTTGATACTTCAGAATAAAGACAGGAAGACTGACAGTGCCCCAGTAAGAACCATTAATAACTTTAGCTAACCAAAATAACTTTAGCTACTCTTCCCCTGAACCAAGTAGGAATGACATAACCTTTCCACTCAGTGCCACCACAGGAAACAGCAAAGATATTCACTTGTTGATGAAAAATAAATTAATCATAGCACACTTCCTCAAGTTGCAGAGTAAACAAAACAAAAGGATTGTAAACACAGGAACCTGTCTATCAAATCCAAGGTGGATTGAAACCAAGACTTCCATAAAACTGCATTCTTTCCTCTTCCTGTTGGAAACAATGTAACTTTTTAATAATTTTAGTTAGTGGCTTTAATTAACTTTGATATTAATTGCTTTAATTAATCATAATCTATATATATATAAATTAATTATAAATAGTATGTGATTCTTATATTTTTCTTAGCCAGTATTTAGCAAAGTTGTCATAACATACTTTTGTAAGAACACACAGCTTGGAAAAACTACTGAAACTTTAACTTTTGATAAACTAACTCTGATAGGCTTCAATGAACAAAACCAGAGAAAGATGTATGGTTGAGGTTAGACATCTGGAATGTAGAATTTATGGACCACAAGGACTTTGCAGAAACCAGAATATAAGAAAGGGGCTAACAAAGATTCAGTATATGTGTTGGAAAGTCCCTACCAGAGGAAAAAAGATACTAAAAAGACTAAAAATATGGACCAACTAGCATGAGAAGTGAGAAATCAATAACCCATAGAGGACAGAAAACTAATTAATAAAAGAGAATTATGTCATTTATAGCAAACGAACATTAATTTTGTTGTTTGCAAGGAAGTGTAAGTGAGGAAGTTTTACATCTGTGTCTTGGTGGAGGCCAGCATTTTGTGAGCCACATAAATCCCTCCTGGTCAACAACAAAATAACATCTCACACACTAACATTAAAAAGAAAGTGTTAAAGGGTTTATTTACCCCAACAATTTTGGAGAATTTGGTAACAATTTACTGCTGACCCAGGTGAGAGAACACATTTGATGTTCCACAGACTTACAGGATCAAGAACTTTGGTGCACACTGAAAGACTTTTTTTCAGGGAAATTTTTCAACCCTCTGATCCAGGTAAGTTCAAGGCAAAAACCTCAGGGAGTCTCTTAAGACAATACTGAAGGTTTAAAAATATATACCTAATCATAAGCTTGCACTCTCTAGCATAATACAAATAAGAAAGTGACGATGTAACTGGCTATTTTCTATTAAAAGTAAATGTAAAACTCTATAAGCAAATATAAATGGAATTGTGTTTGAGCCCCACTGCCTAACTGGAAAACTGTAACTGTAAAATTATATAAGTGACTATCAAAAGGTGTGGTTTGAGTCTTCACCCTCAGTTTTGCTCACAAATTAGTCAGACACAGTGCTGCTTGCACAAAGAGCCACGTTGTGGAAGGGCTCTGCTCAGATAATTTTGTGCTTGTTAAAGCCTATGGCATTTGTCAGTGCTGGAAAATGTGAGCATGTGGTAATGTGTGTTTGTAAGTACAAATTAAGTTCGTATGAAAATTCATTTGCTGTAAGAGCGTTGAAGCCATTCTATGTTTACTGCGAATTTTAGGGCATTTGGTGTGTACTAAACGCTCGATTTTCAGTAATGTAAATTGTTAAATTTTTGACTTTGACTTTGCTCAGAGATCCCTCTCTGGCGTTAGCACAGCGGCTGCTACTGCGTCAGTGACTGGAATTGTATTTGTGTGCACAGAGCGCTCTCTCGTGGCGGTTTTAGTGATTGCTGGAATTTTTATTTACTGTGGGTTTTTGTTCTCCAACCCGAGAAGAGGAGGAATATTCAAAAGTTCACATTTAGGTTGTATTTTGCAGCACTGCAAAGAATTTAAAAGCGATTCTTTAACTTGGACACAGTTAATAGAATATTGTATTCTCTGGTGGCCAGATTATCTATTAGATATTCAAGAAAAATGGCCAGTTCATGGTATTTTACACCAAAATGGTATTTTAAAGTTGATGTTATATTGCCAAAATAAAGAGAAATTTAATGGCATACTATACATAGTACCTCAAGCACTCGTGAGACAAGTAGCCAAAGATAAACACAGAGAAACATATTGGGGAACAGAAGCTATTAGAAATAACTTGAAACATTAAGTAATAGTGTAAAAACACCACAAATCAAAAGTGCAGTCAATAAGTGTAAAATATATTCACAAAACAATCCACAGCCCTACAAAAGGCTACAAAAAGAGGAAACTGTCTTGGAGTTTATAGGCAAATAGATTTTTCTGAGTTACCTTGACAACAGAGTTCTTGATACCTACTGGTTATAACTGACACATTTTTTGGATACAAAAATGTGTATATTCCATATGTTTGGGAGCAAAGCAAGAGAAGTTACCAAGAGATTGTTAAAAGAGATAATACCCCGACTTGGAATTTCATTTGGAATTAATGATTTATGATATCTTAAAACAAGACACAAGCAAAATTTTTGCATTTTAATGTCTTAAGTTTTGCAAGATATTCAATGATTTAAGTGGAAGTAATCTTAAAGGAAAATTAAGATCACTTCCAACGGGGGGAATTGTTGGAAATGTCAGAACTTATTGTTAATTTTAGTTAATTGTTTTGATTACCTTTTAAGTCAATAGTTTAGTCATAGTCAATAAATATTTAAAAATTATGGATAGGGTGTTATTCTTCCATTACTCTTAGCCAGCATCTAGCAAAATTGTCATTCAGTTATTTTTGTATGAACACAGATTGCAAATCTACTAAAACTTTAAGTTTTGGTAAACTAACTGATATGCTTCAATTAACAAAGCCTGAGAAAGATGTAGTGTTGAGGCTGGACATCAGGAAAGCAGAATTTATGGACCACAAGGGCATTTTGCAGAAACCAGAAAGTAGGAGTCCAGCTCTGGCCGTGGTTCTAATCTACTGGGTTGTGTTGCCTCATCATACAACGTATGGCTTAGATAATCCTAACTTTTCCACCTAAATCAAAGCATTATTCTCTTGCTGCTAACAACTGGGCAAAAGAACATACCAAATCAGCAGTGCTGATTTAGCTCCAGGCAAATGGAAAACTAACACTATGAACCAGGTGCAGTGAAAAAGTGAACACAATAACCAGCCCCACTCTGCTCAGAGAACAAATCCGGGATTTAAAAAAGCATTTTCTAGATCTGAAGCATGTAAAGCATCCTGTCCACAAACTATCTGCACCCACTTCCTCCTCTCCTAAAGCAAGAGCCTTTGAAGAGCTATACAGCTCTTCCAAGAAGAGGTCCCAAGTGGGACTGAGGGAAGCCTTACCTGTGTCCAAATCATTGCTATTGGCAGCTTCACGCAGCCTTTTCAGAGCTATGGAGAAAAGAAAGCAATTATGGACAGCACGGAGGAAAAAGGCACGTTTCCCTACTGAAACATTCCATCCCGGTGCTCGAGCGCGGGGCCAAACCACGCTAATACTCCAGAGAATGGGCAGATCAAGGCACCAGGTAGGAATCGTTCTCCTCGTCTCCTCCCGCCGCCGGCCGCGGGCCCGCCCTCTCGTGACGGGCACCCTCCCCCGGCAGCACCGGGGTGCCTTCCCCAGCCGCCCACCGAACAGAGCCCACCTCCCTCCCGAAGCCCCGTGAGGGGAGGGGCTGTTCCGGAGCGCCCGCCGCTCACCGTGGGCCTCCTTGCCCGTCGGCCCCAGCCGACGGTGGAGACGGG